CTATAAAAGAAAAATTTTTAACAAAACGGATGCGATCAGGAGAGAGTTTTTTTATTACATTAATAATATCTTATAACCCCTTGATATCAATTACTAATTGATAACACATATTAATTAGTAAAATCATGTTGAATTAATAATCACTATAAGTTTCAGGTTTCACGTCACTCCGGAGCTTTAGAATCGGTGGATGTCATGTGACTTCGGATATGTGTTTAAGTCTAATCATTAGTGTTCTTCGGCCGGAAGTCTAAATCCTTGATTATTTAGAAATCAGTGTTGACAATATCTTTTGGCCATTAATAAAAGATATTTTTCTTATCAAAATACACATAGTCTCTTAAGATCATTTGAGAGGTTGTCATATGACTTTTCGAAGAAAATCGGGATTTTTGCCAGACGTCTATAGATTTGTTACATCCATAAACTTTTATCTATCCACTATAGTTTTATATTATTTTTATATTATTTTTTATATTATTTTTTTTATATATAAGTTGTTTAAATATTAAATTTAAAATTTTTGTTAAATTATTTAACTATTTTATTATATAATAAAAAACACTTTTTTATTTTATCCATTTTTTTGAAAATTTTCTTTTTTAAAAAAATTTTAATTAGACAAGTTTAAAATTCTTGTCAAATTATTTTTTTTTCAAAGAAACTTTATTTCTTTTTTTATTATTATTGAAAATAAAGATTTTTTCTAAAAAAGATTACTGTTTATCTTTTTTTTGCTATAATCTAAGAGGTTTAAGTTAAGTAGTTTTAAGTATTATATATAAAAGGTCAAATTCTAAACTTATTAAATAAAAAACTAGCTTTTTTTCTTTAAGATAAAAAGTTATTATTGTCAAAACTAATACAACAAATTAATTACATCTCAAGTTTTATTATATATAAGTCAATTTTAAAAGTTTGATTAAAAAAAATTCAAGTTATATAAGAATAAGACTCTTGGTTAGATTTATCAAGACTTGAGTATCTTGATAATGAAGATCATATAAAAAAAGACCTTTTGATTTGATTTTTTTTTTGCTTATATGGATAATTATTTTTGAAGGTGGATTAGAAATTTTCCGATATGATTTTAAAATTTATATTATATATATATTATTTAAAGATTGAATCTGAAAAAATCATATCTAACATTTTTATTACTTTCAAAAATAATTATTTATATATATGGATACAAAAAAATTAAAATCAATTTAGTTCTTTAAAAGATATATAGATCTTTTTTTATTAATTACATTTTATAAAAATTATATTATTAATCATCATTACTATAATAATAATAACAACAAATCATAACAATAATAATAATCTGTTACATATTAATAATCTATTTATAACTTTAAAGAAATTAACAATATGGACACTAATGTATAACATTATTATGGCTTTTAAATAAAATATTATATATATAGAAATTGTATTTTGCTAGACATTTTTGCTTCTAGATTTGGCAGCTTAAGTCAATCAAATCTTTTGAAGTGTCTACTAGAAGATTTTAGAATCACATTTTACTTGAGTATTGGATCCTTAGATTTGATAATCAGTACCAATTAAAGATTATAGTTTCAAAATATTTAGTAGAAAATACATATTTATATTTAATTCTCTCTAAATTTATAATTATATAAGTTAAAGTTGTAATATAAAAATTATTTATTAATTATTAATATATATCAAGTTCATTTTTTTTATTTTTTTTTTCATTAATATTTTTGAATAGAGATCTTAGTTACTTAGCACTATCTTGGACATGTAATAATTTAATATTTGTTTTTCTTACTGCTTAAATGGTTGTATATAAGTAGACTAGCATTAAACTTATTAGCTTATTAAGTTATATAAAAGATATTATTGCTTTTTGTATGTAAAATTTAAATAATTTTGCTATTAATAAAGTAATAAAGTTTTTCTATATTAATATATACAATATATATATATATTTTTTATTATAAAAAAAAACCAAAAACACTTCTATAATAAAATTAATAAATTAATTCTATAAATTATTTGTTTATTTATTAATTTTTAAATAAAAATTAAGAAGGTTTTTTACAATGATTTTTTTTTTATATTAAAGATTTTATTTTATTATTTTTTTTTTTAGAGGCAAAGTGCATTACATGCGAACTTTATTAACTTAGCGTTGAAGTTACAATAAAGATTTTATTTTAATTAATAATTGATTAATATATTAGCTTTTAATTTAATTAAAAAAAATAATAATAATAATATAAAATTTATAATAATTAAATTTACTTAATAATATCAACTGGCCATACTAATTAGTATTGCAGTAGGCTACAATTAACTTACAGTTATAAAATACATATATAATTAAAAATAAAAATATAATTCAAATGGTTTTATTGTTAAAAGATGTTTTTTAAAAAAATATACAGTATATACATTTAAGATTAAAAAAAATTACCTACAAATATTTTTTTGTAATTTAAATTATCTAATCCAAGTGTTTTTTAAATTATGTCCTTATTAAAAATGAAGAGTAAATAATTATGTCCAAATAATTTTGAAACCCATCTTTATATATAATCAAACTAAATAATTAATAAAAAACCAAGAATATGTTTGTTAAAATATATACAGTATATAATCAAACATTTAACTTTTTTAATTACTCCTTTGATAATATTCGATGAATCTCAATATTATAATTTAACAATGACGCAAAATATCATCGAGTCCAAAAATGCGCATAAAATAAGGCCGAAAGATAATAATTGTAAATAGACCAGAAATTCAATAGTAGATGGTCAACTAGATGGCTGCGAATTCCTCGAGGTGACTAACACGTCGAGTCCTATCTTTATTCGATAAATGTTGATTGTGGATAAAAATCCTTTTAAAGTTCATTCTGATTGATATTACAAAATCGAGTACTCTATGTAAATATTCTACAGGATGGATATTTATCCCCAACAGAAACAAAGTATCGGAAACCGTCTTATATATTTATATTTGACGGAGGGTTATAAATTTACAATCGAGGTTTATGAGTGTGATGGTAAATGTTATATAAGCATGTGGTTTGTGAATGAGGAAGGTTATGTTCATTATCTCATTGTTCGAGATAGATAAGACATATCTATTGTTTAAGGTGAGAACGTGTTTTCGATGATTCACCTCTAATGAGATTTTGGAGGAAACGAACCTTTTGGCTAATCTCATCTAAAAAAAAAAAATTATACAAAATATGTGAGACGTTGAATATCTTATAATGAGTACAGATTTATAATAATAAGGTAACAACTTACTAGCCAAAGTTTTCGATTCAGCCTCGAAATCGTATGTCTTCGTTCCAGAATTTCGATATATAGTTAATTTAAAATTCGTGGGTGCCTTTTTATCTACTTTGCAAGACTTTACGGTATCGATATGATAAGATATCTGTAATATAAAGGCATTAAAGTATTTAATATGTTCATTTTAACAGAAAACATGTAGCTAACTAACTTACCGTCTTCATAGATTCAAACATAGTCCGTGTTTCAGATGGCATTATGTGTATGTAATCCCCGTCAATCGCTAATACACGTTCATGACGTCCAACAAACATCGGTGTCTTGCGGTTGACAATATATTTCTATATACATGGGTAAAACATTTATTACGATAAAATATATAGATTCCATTAGCTGTCAATAAATTGTCTTACCTTGTAAACCGACATGTACTCGTTTAACGACACATACTGCGGTTGAGGCGGATCATTAAGCGTCCTTCGTCTAATAATACTTCGCTCCCGAACACCTAGATGATATTGCAATAAGAGAAAGTTTACAAATGTAACAAAAACGTAACTATTGAGACAAATATAATAACGCCTACTTGTTGGGCTTGGTGGTGTATCAGTAAGTATGGCGTTGGGGGGTTTTTCTACCAGAGCCAGCTCATTAGCATTCCCCACACTTTCCACTGTTTTTCCCAAATTTATGTATTTCTCGGTGTCGGCAATTTTAAAAGTGTATTTGCTACTGTCCAATTTACGTTTACGACAAATCGTCTCCAAAACTTCCTGAAAAGGCATTTCAGAAGAAACATTTATTGTCGTTGTATGCGAAACCTCCTCATGTGGAGTGAGGGTGAGTCGAATCCGTAAGAATATTTGATTAGAAATATCAATCGTAGACGAAGTTCCAGACATACTAGGACCGTCTGACAAATTGATAATATTGGAGCTAGAATTAATGATTGTCCCATCTGTATTCACAGATGGTGGAACTACCAATGACTCTTTTACTTGTGGTCTTGCTTTTGTCGAAACAGCTTCGTTTTGTTTGACTATATACAAAGAGAGATAATAGGAATTAATATTGTGGAATCACAGCATTCGTTCGGTAATTATTAGAAAAACTCCTAACCTTGTGCGGGAGTTGCTTGGCACAATGCAAATTGATCAAATGAAAATTTTGATATTTTCTGCCTTCTTTCCAGGGCTAGTAAAGTTTAGTTTGAAGGAATATACTATCAATCATAAAGGTGAAAATTAAATTCTATTATCAGAAAATCTTGAAACATACCGGGAAAATCTTCGTCAATTTCGCCATCATCTTCAACAATTCTCATGTTCCACTGTACTACATCGCATAACTTTGGATCTAGTATCGGCTCCCTTTTCTCGTCCCAATACTGATATAACACGTACCCAATAATTTCCTCCACACTGGCATCCCTCTTTACAACCACAATCATTGGTCGTGAGGGTTCTTTACTAAATGGAAGATAAATCTTTCGTGTTAATGGATTTAAGTCTCCTTTTCCGGCGAAAAAACTATAATCTTCCGCAAAAGGATTATCCAATTTATTCTTTTTCTCGGCTATCAATGCAGTTAATGTAGATAATGGCTTGCGTTTTGGAATAATTTTTAGTGGTTCTGGTGTAAGTTTACTTTCTTCCTCCGAAGATAATGGCGGTCGTGGTGGCGGACTCGAAGGTAATTCCGCACCGTCTGTTAACAAGGATGCTTCTGAGCCTCTTCTTTCAGCCAATACTCTATCACTTTCCGCTGATGTGGTTGGTGATAATTGTGGTGTTTGCTCGGTGGACGAAAGTCCTAGTATACTGTCTGGTGATGTTTTTAATGCACCTCCAGGCGAATAGGAGTGCGTCACAAGATCCCGATGATTGTTGGGCGGTTTTGAGGGAGATGTCACAAAGACTGGTGGAAGAGCTACATCTTGTTTGGGCAAATTGAGCTTGGTAAAGAATGGTTTTGTTCGTTTCCTACTTTAAATAGGGTTTCAATTAAATGTCGAATACAATTAACAAATTTAAAAAAAATCGAATTAATTATCTATCAAAAGACAACTTCACATACCCACTATTATCATCGTCCAACTCTATATCATTGTCACTGTCACCATTTTCAGTATTGTTAATGCTTAAATCTCCTCTTATGGCTTGAGCTGAATTTGCGTCTCTACTTCGATTCGAATTTAATAAAGTTTTTGCTCTCCCACCACCCGATAAAGGTGAGCAAGCAGCGCTACTAGCTATACTTTTACTACTAAAATAATCATTCCCTGACATGCTAATGTTAGGGGAATGACAAATCAACATCTCTGGGTACGAAGTTGCTGCAGTTTTAATATAATCGTTAGAAAGAACAGTTGGATTAAAACTTATCACACGCTCGCCAGTGCGGTCTCCTACACGACGGAGATAGCCTATGCGTAATTGGTGAACAATATATCTTAAATAAAATAATTCAAATGTTAATTTTTTGGAAGTGGTAAATCAAGGAAAGCAAGGTAGATCGAAACCCATAAAGTTGAAATCTTTGAACATACTCTGGATCGTTCAGCAGCGACATTGAAAATTTGATAGTGCCAAAACAATCTTGTACGTTTGAACTTCACGTTTTGCATGGGCAATTGGGTAATTAAAAATAGGAAACTTAATAAAAAAAAAAGGAGTTGATTAGACTTTCACCTTTCATACGTCATTATACGTGCCATTTTTAAGCGCGGATCATGCAAGTTTGTACAATCAATATCCCAGGTTGGAGTAACAACTGGTAACAAACAAGTCTTGATTTAAGTACTTGGGTGCATTTTAAGGGGTTGTAAACTCGAAATGTTCCGAATGTCCAAAAAAGATTTGGTTTCTGGCACGTTGATGCCTTGACGATATATAATGCATCTCGGATGGATTTTGTCTGCTCATATTTTCATCTTCACCGTGATAATAATATTCTCAATGTTCGATTAAGCAATTTGGTTAGTCAGTCAACCAATTAATGATTAGTCATGTTGCGCCAAGATTCTAAACAATTGTAGTATCATTTCTAGTTATGTAGCTAATTTAATTTTTGAAAACTATGTTGCGATAACGGATAACTTTAAAATATTTTAGTTTAGGTGACACCTGTATTGATCTTATGTTTTATAATAATATTGATATTAAAAGATTATATTATTTTATAATATAATATCATATATTTATAGTACGTTTATATTTAATATAATTTGTTTTTAATTAATTTATTTATTTATTTATTTTTTAAGGTGGGCCAAAGTGTGATTAATTAATTTATTTATATTTGCAACTATAAATAACTTTATATACAGTAAATATATTTAAACTTATAAAATATACAGTGTGGTACAAAAAAAACCAGAATTTTTTTTAATATATATTTTTATTAATAAATTAATATAAAATTATTT